TACAAATTCACATATATACACACCCACGCACCGAAACAAAATGATGTCCAGCCAAATGCTATCTGAGGGAGGATGGGGGATGGGCAACGGTTATACAAGCATGTTTACAGGACATTTCCTGTGGCTGTGCCTAGGGAGCATCATCTGTCCTCAGACAAACAAACATTCAAGAGTTCCCAAAGCAGAGCCATTTTCATTTTTACAAAAAGTCTACACGTCATATCTTCCTCTATTAAAGTTGCAGTCACTAATTATAGCGATATCAAGTTGCATAAATACCTCAAAATTATGCAGGCACAGTTGGGGCAAGCAAAGATGCAATTTTATAGACTTGTTAAATACTGTAGTTTATCATTTTTTCGTAATAACACTCCATGCGTGTCAACCATTCATTACTGTGTATAGCAGGGAGGAGGCATCACTCTAGCTGATGTACAGGCGTGGGCCTGGGCTGGTGGCAGAGACTCCGTCAGCTAACATACTAATGGGCTGTCTTCTAGTTCAAACTGAGCTAATCTGGCTGCATTCTTTAAAGCTTATGAAAATGAAATGTTTGCTTGGATTTATGAATCGTGTTAAAGAAGCAATATATTGCAGTTTTTAAAAACTGTGAAGACTGAACAGAAAATAAACTTCTAAAATGTGCAATAAAACTTCAAGTGGAAATTGGTCACTTTGTAACTTTTCCCCTAAAGAGTTTCCAAGAGGCATTATTGTTGGTGCCACTGTCAGAAAACTAGACCTCTTTTCAGTTTTTTCAGCACAACAAACAGCATAGGACCCACTGCTTTTTTCCAATGAAACTGCACAAAGGAGACTTTGATAACAGTCATTCTGTCTGTTGGTTTTAATATTAACAAGATGGAGCTACAGCCATCAGCTATTGAACGAAACCTTAGAACACCAAATAAATCATATCTCAGTTATTTGATAAAGCCACAGGCGTAGTATTAATACATAGGCTGGTTTTGTCCCTTACTGATTTAGCTAAGTAGAATGAAGGTTTCCTCTTTGTCTGCTCCGTCAACGGGGCTCTTGTAACTTTTCAACAGTTAACGTTAGCAAGCCAACAGTATGTTACAGGGACATTATGACATGACAGAAGTATTCAAGTGGTTGTTGGAAGATAGTCATGTAGCAAGATAAACACTCCTTAATATTTTTCTTGGGAGCTGGCCAGACCATCCACAGATGAAAGCCTAATGAATATTGGATTTACAGTCCATGACAGGTGAAAAATAGACTGTAAATGGAATGCCCATGGTGCTCTGTGTGCGTTTGATGTAAGTGATCAAATGTAATGAGGTGTTCTGATATACAGTACAACTATGATGGATGATGTGCAAGAGAAAATGTGTTCCTCTGCCATATCCAATATTTTGTAAATATGCCAAAACTTGCATGTTCAAATGTTTCTGTTTAATCAATGGTAACTTATGCAATTACTGGCTAACATGAACCATGGGCATTTTCGACTGCTGGCTGTAGCTTCCTATTTATCCTACAGACATGATAATGCATTTAGGTCAAAGTATAAATAACCACAATTTCCAGAATCTTAAACTATTAATGGAAACACTACTACATTTGCTTGATTGAATTATTGTGGCATTACATTATGGTTAGTTTTTTTGAATTTTTCTTAAAACTGAAAATCAGGGTGGATATATCAGTTAATTAACACAAGTGTACTAAGTGACATTTTGGGCACCATTGTTACACACATCGTCTCACCATTTTATTGTTACCAGATAGATTTCAAGTAAACAACATTTGACTCCAGTGAGGCCTGGCTACTTGCCTTTGAGTGCTTTGTAGACAAACCAACCTACCACATCTAAAATGCATCATTATTGGCCTCGTATCTGTGGTTTTGCCCAGCCCACTCACAAAGAGATAATTAGTACATGTAGTGTATTCAATTACTGCAGTCAAGCGGAGGGATTAATAAGAGTCAGCAGTTGTTATTTACACCAGGTGTGAACAGTCAATGCCAGCCAGAGCTAGTAAGGCTAAGCTATTTACAGCATCTGCAGATAGATGCTACTCACACCTGGAACGAATTATCCATATCACCAAATTCAAAATGTAATAGGATTTGGGAAAGTTAAACCACGATCCTCATCATGACCAATAATACACTCATTACAATCGAGATATGTCTCAGAATGCAATGGTTTTCATTACCATGTTAACATAGAAGAGACAAAACTAACATTGCATATGTATATATATATATATATAGATCAAGAGCGGCTATTTAATCCCCAAAACCAAGTCTGATCCTACCTTCCTTTATTACTTCATTATTTGAGCCAGAGTAAGTTATGTAGCTACACACGCATTAGAAACTGCAACAGCTTCAGTAATGTGTGTGTCCAACCATTTTACAAGTGATGTATTAACATGACAGTCAACCTTGGCTTAACGGGCCTCATTCACACAGACAGCACATGTGAAGACAGATGAATTATGGTGTACTATTCAAGTTTGAAACATGAGATGATTACTATTAAAAAAAGGCTCCATTAAAGGTCTTCCAGTAATGTCACCACTGATGGCAGGTCATAAAGGGTCATAAACCTTCGTAGCATCCTAAGTTAAAGACCATCAATAACTTACTTCCTGCGCTCTCACTCCTCCCCTGACTGAAACTGGGCTTTCCAGTTAAAGGACTGTTTCATAAAAATATTAAAAAAGACAAACACAAGTCGAGATTGCTTCCTGAATCTGGTTGAGTTGTCTGTGATTTTGAATATGTCAAGAGACCGGACACATAGGAAAGGGGGGATGGAATCTAACAGAACCTCAACTTAAGAGTTGTATTACATCCATAAATACAAAAGCATTCAAAGTCATAACTCATACCCCACTGTCTTATATGCATATTACAACCTGGATTGTTAAGGTCTTATTTGGTATTAAGCGCCCTGGACCTTTGACATGCTGCTACGAGTATACCTTCCATGAATAAACCATTTAGCAGGGTGTTCCTGTCCACCTGCAGCAACCTGCCCACTGACAGAACAGCTTTCCAGCAAAAAGGTAAGAAATAGGTTTGGCCTTCAGCTGACCTCAGACATAGTAGACCTTTACAGCGGTAAGGCATGAAGATCAAAATGCTAAGCTCTCCTGACTGTTTTTGTTGACCTCAAATTGAAACAGTGTGAACAAAATCCAGATCTCATTAGAACATGCTATACAGTAGCAGCTATCCCAAATGTCACTTTGGTTAACCATTGCGGTTTAGGTAACTGCTTTGGTCTGTAGTTTTGTTTTTCTGTGTGTGTTATCCATCTCTTCATCATGCTTAATAACATTACTGTCCCACTTATTAAAATAACTAACAGCGTTTATTAACAGAAAGAAAAGTAAAGTTTTCTCAGGCTTTCATAATTTGCACACTGGGTTTGCTATTTTTACAAACAAGATCAGTGCTCACTAAACAAAATAAAGGCCTATCTTGGCATACTATGGTATACACTTGATCATGCCTGAATATTTCTGGCACATAAACTAAATTTGGTGTGCACACACTCTACATACACATATTCATCATGTGCAGCATCGGAAATGCAAATATTTGATGTCTTAATGTGAAAACATTTCAATATTGCAGCTCTAAGCCGCGTACATATTTCCATGCCTAGAAAGTATTTTAGTAGTTGATGATTGCTTCGTTCACAAGAGCATATGAAGTGTGTAGGAATGGTGATGAAAGCAGGAAAAGTATGATGCTTCCTCACAGTTAAAGGTTGACAGGGACATGCTTAACCGTGAAAAAAAAACATGATTGTGTTGATTGATGGGTTAGTGATTGCAGTGGCATTACTGCTGTGGCCTTCCCATCCTCATCGAAGCCATCTAGTTTACATATTTATTAGGCATATTTCTAATCTTTCTCCATTTCACAGACACACTTCTGACGTGCACGGACCAGACTGCCATTGCCCCTGGGATACAGCAGAACAGGAAGTTCCCTTTAATTTGCATAGTTGAATTTCAGAGGACACTGACCCATGACAAAGTGATTGCATCCTCATACAGCTCTCACTCAAACACTTTTCACTCACTTCTCATAGGTGACTTTAAAAACCTTTTGAAAGCATTATTGGACAGAAACTCCATCTCTGCACTAATAATTTCCAAATGTCTGGCTGTGGCTTTATAATACATTATGAGAGCAGTACAAAACCATTCACACCATTGATAGTTTTGTATAGATAAGCCTATCAGCATGCATGCATGGATGAAGACAAAAAGACAAACAAATGTCTTGAATTTACAACAACCCCTGAAAAAACTATTATGTGTAGCCTACTTGTGGTAAATTACAGATATGATTCCATCAGTAATAGCCAGAAAATGTTTCCCAGTGGTACTACTCAGTAACTTAGAAACGAAATAGATGTATTCAAGTACTGTACTTAAGTACAATCTTGAGGTAATTGTACTTTTGTGCAACTTTGTACTTACTTCACTACAATTCAGCAGTAAATCGTGTATTTTTACTCCACTACATTTATTTAATACATTTAGTTACTAGGCAGATTTGGATTAATGATGTGAAATATAACTCTTAAATAAGACTTTAGTTACACCTGGAGTAAATTCACAAGCCACCCTGCAGTATACAAAGTCATTCAAACTAGCTGCAGCTTTACCAAAACATATTATTCTGAAATGAGCCGATCTGAAAATTGAGTACTTTTACTTTTGGTACTTTTAAGTATAGTGTTGATGCCAATACTTTTCTAATTTTACTTTTTGATTGCAGGACTTTTAATTGTAACAGAGTAATCCTACACTCAAGTACTTTTCCACCTCTGCCGGTGGCTCAGCTTCATGGAGACGATCCCATTCAGACACACAGTAACTTAAAGACGCTGCAATGAATGCATCCTGCAATTACAAGTCTCCTGTGGCTTTCAGGTAGCTACTGTTATACAACATTATTTCATGACCCATGGGAGAGATAAATGGCGTGTTGGGCTACTTACTCTTTAGCGCATTGATGAGCATATTCCCATCCTTTATGAGATCTTTGATGAATTTATTAGTCCGCTCCAGCTCTATTTCATGGCATTTCAGACGCTCTCTGAAGTCAGGACTGTCCAGGAAAGAGTCACTGAACTCCAAAGTGGGGAGTCCCATTGTAGCTCAACGACAAAAAGTTACCTTTCAAACTTAACTTAGCGAATAAAAGTGTTTGCTTTGCATCACGTAGATCCGCTGAGATACAGCCGTCTCCAAACTCCCCCCAAAAAGTTGTCCTGCTCCGCTATGTTCCTAACTTCCGCTTTGGTTTTCTCAGGGGTTTTTCGGTTACCTATCGTAAAAAATAGTTTTTGTCTGACTCCTACTGGTTAAGTTTAGGATAGTTGAAACCGTTTCTGTACACCAGTAGTCGGTCTCTAATTCAACGTTTGGGGACTACATTTTATACGTCACACTGCAAAGTAAATTACCGTATAAAAGGTGCCTTTCACTTAAGTTAAAGCGAAATAATAACAATTATATCCATAAACAGTGTCTATAACAACAGTGTACTATTAGTTACACATTGGTATTATTTTAGTCCTAAATTAAAGCAGATTCGTTTTTCGGGTTTCTAAGCTAAATTTGACCCCCAACCCAACTTCTCTACTTATGGGTTTAACCATTAATAACTCAAATAAATACAATAAGGAAATATATTAGCAGGATGTAGAAGAGTGACTGCCCCAGGAGGTGAGTCATGCTACAAAAATGGTGGAAGTAGCCTACTGTCACTTACTTTTGCAGACACCAAAATACATGACGTTGACCTAATACTAACATTCATATGTTGAATAAATAGAGATTATCTTTGCAATGGTACTAAATAAATACATTTTAAAAATTGTTTTATTAATAAATTGCAATTTATTTAAAATGCCAAGTTCAAGGAACTGCCTTGTCACTTTGATCATACATGGAAGTGGAGCCAATAGTTTTAATTTAAAAGATTTATTTTTCAATAAATAAATCTCAGTCACATAACATTACATACATTAAATATAACACTGAAATGGTAAACGCAAATTATTATTAATAATATCAAATAAATATCAGTCACCCACAATTACGTCAATGGTGTTACTGCTACACAAAACGCTTTTATTATTTGAAATAATGTACTGTCTCTGAAGAGCTTCCTGTAACAAGAGATCCTTTGAGGCAGTGCATTGGACAAAGACATAGGGTAAGTCAGATACTTCTTACTTTGTTTGTTAAAGATGTAATTTTATCTTCGAATTTGACGTGCAGCTTTTAAGTCTGTCATAGTGTTACTAATTTCATAGCCCTAGGGGTGAACATTTGAACGGGAAAATGTATTGCATTGAAGAGTTAAACAATTTTGATATTGACTGAAGCCATAATGTGGTCTGACACACGGCAGCCATTTTGTTAAAATTATAGTGTTTTCTCCAAATTGTCACTGGTGTTACCGTCACTGGTGTTACTCTTCTTCCTGGTAACACGTAACACCAGTGACGTTCCTATATAAATAAGCTTTGTATAATGTATACAAATAATACAAATACTTTAAGATCTACTTGTTGTGGATTCATCAAGTTAAGAGTTAGTTATTGCTATTTAACAGGTTTTTAGATGTGTAAGAAGGAATATATTTCAGCAGATTTGTATCACCCAGATTCCACCTTTTCTGTAGAATGACCCAGATATGTTCTTAAAGCAGAAAAAGCACAGCTGTTATCTCCTTTATTTAACCAGGTAAAAAAGCAGAGCTGTTAATGAAATTAATGATTAGCTTCTTTGATTGCAGGTTGAATGGAAAAGAGCACTCTGTGAAAGTCGTATGTCTACTATGAGAAAGGCCTGTTGAATTTGAGTTCAGTTTCCTTTCAAAAATAAAAAATAACCCCACAAAACCATGAGATAACTTAAGAAAGCACATAATTAATGTATTACAAAATAGTAGCCACAATGCCCGAAGAACGGTTTATTTTGCCTTGGGCCACCTTTGAATCAAGTCGATATTTTTCGATGTGCTGGTGCCCATGTGTTCCTTACACGGATTTGATGAATCTTAAAAATAAATATACAGGCCTATTAAAAAGGCTAATTAACAATTGTGTGGCAAATTAACATCTACTTCAAATCCAAACATTACAAGACAAACGGCTAAATCCTGCTTTTTCACATAATCACAATAAATATGTTTGAACACAGAATAATGATCATTATTACGCACTGCTACAATGAAACACTAATATTATGTTTGCTATATTCAACTTGAATTATTTTTCATCTTATTATGGCAGCCTCTGAGCTGTGACTCGTGGAGATTTGTGGTTAAATTATGCCAGCGGGCTTACTTTTTAAAGTAATGAACTGTTTGCTGTGCAGAAATGATGGGTTGACAATGCATCATACTGGAATTACTGAGGTTTAGAAGAGTGGGATCCGAATTAATACCTTGGTAAATGGAAGTAATTAAACTAGAGCCTAATTGGAGTCAGAGGAATTTGTCAAATTCCCTTCAGGATGGTGATAATGATGTCACACTCTAAATGAGGATTTTGGTCGGCATGAGGAACAGGCTCTGCCTCCAGTGGCAAGTCTCTTTTGAGGACTCATTCTACTTATGGTGCTTCGGAGCATCGGGGGGGGCTGAGAAGAGGCTTTATCTTTGAGCAAAGTGCAAAAACAATCTCCATGGAGAGGCGGATGTTGCAGCTTTTGCTACAACCAATACACACAAATAAAAGTGCATAAATAATTCAATGCTTTGCTACCAAGAGCAGACCATAAGCTCTGAGAGTGGGGTTGGGCTTTTGCTCAGTGTCATTTGGAAGCTATCCTTGTAGCGTTCTTCCTCAATAACTAACTAGCAACCTTTCCTAAATAGATGCCTGCTTTGACTGTAGCAGGGAGATAAATCACTGGAGACAGATAACCTTCCTGAGCAGCGTCATGTGGCTGCAGCCGACTCTTTAGTGTGTGCTGCATCATATTCCAGCAAGTAGTATGGTGAAAAACAGATATTAAATTATTTATGTATATTTTTATTCTTATATCAATGTACTGTACTCATGAACTACATGACAATGTTCCTGGATGCTTTGTCTGACCAGCTACGAATAATTTAAGTAGTATACTATGAATATTTTGCCGAGCTTTACAAGCATATACTGCTGCACTAAGGGGACCACCATGACATTATAAAACCGCCAAAACATGGGGGCTTAAAAGGTTGCTTCCTAAGTGTGCAATGACTGAATGAGACAGGTCTACAGTTTCAAAATGTTGGATGTCCAATTTAGAATACATTACAGAAATATGACATTTCCTAAGATGTGAGTCAGGGCACTAGCTGTGATTGTCCAAATGTAAGAGATCCTTATTGAATCCTACACAAAAGATCGGGTCTGAAAAAAACATAATAGTGTTAAAATGTCAAATTAGGTCTCTGGATAATTTACAGGCAAAATAACCACAATCACAACCTATTTCATCTTGCTTTTTAAACAGTCTTAACATTCTCTAAAAAGGGAGTGCATTCTTCATGGTCGATCATAACTTTATTGCATGTCAAGTTATCGCATGAGTAAATACAAATTTGTAATGCAAGCAATACTGGTTGAAATGTCAAGTTTTTTTCTCACCATTGAAATGCTTATAAAGATACTTTTACACTGACTGCTTACTGTATAAGAATGACAGTTTTGTCTAACTGAAGTCTGTTGTGTACACAGTGAAGATTCCCATTTCAACACAAGATAAAAGTTAAAGGGGAAAAGTCCATACTGTACTACACTGGGAAAAAAAATCTAAATATAGTTAACATAACATCTGAATAAATGAAATTCATGCGTTAAAATTATTTTTATAAATATGCTGTAAAACACAACACTTTGTTGTACCTCCTAACAGTACTTAACACCCAGTCATAAACAATAATAGATAGATCTCCTGATTTTGATAATTAAATGGATCATTTTGCATTTGATGGCCCAAACATCCAGAAAAATCAGTTTGGATCAACGCATGAGCAAGTGTTTATCGTGCATTTTGTGCAATTTTGTTGTGTGTTTATTGTGCAATTGCTGGAATGAATAAACAAATATATCGTAATTTTTTTTTTAAATTATTATATATTATTGTTTATTTCAAACGGGTTGTATCCTTTTTGCCACACGAGGCCGTAACTAAAACGGACCCCGCAAACGATAACGGTCCAAAGGTGGATAGATCTGGGAACGGAGCGCTCTGGGGGGTCAAACGGCTCCGTGTAATCGCCTCTATACGATCATTTTGTGATAATGATGACGCAATAGCCCTGCCTCCCCCCACCTCTGCTGCTCACCCCCGCAAAAGTACACTGCACACTGAATTCAGATTATTTATCTTTCTCTCGATATGGACATAAACGCGAGTGAAGTCTAATCTGACAGGACGGAGACACGCAGCTCCACGCAGCTCCACGCAGCTCCACGCAGCTCCACGCAGCTCCACGCAGCTCCTGTGTGTGCTGCATCACAGCGGGAGGAGCAAAACACACACTTCAAGTCAGATCATCACCCTTAGCTATTTTAATTACCTCTCAAACTACCTAAACTAGTTATAAATATGTTTATTTTTTACTGTCGGCCGGGTCACTCATTACTGGATCAGCTGCTGCATGAGACAGACACTGACGCTGTCAGAAGAGAGGAAAAAGAGAGGCCAGGCTCCGTGTATATTATTATTATATATAGTCGTTATTCATTTGTTTTAAAGCTTAATAAATAACAAAGAAGACCTTTGACCGGCACTTTTATAATTTTGTCTGGAAGATTTAAACTTTTACACACGTTGACCGGCGAAAAACTCTGCCCGGTTCCCTCGGCCCCCACCACGGAGAATAAACAGAAGGGCAACCATGCTTCTTCGCTGCTTTTGTGGAGGAAGTTACAGCGCTACGTACAGGCTCGGCATATGTACTGCAGCTTTTTCCAGCGGTTGGAGCTAAACGGAGCTGTCTCGTGTGAACAGACACTATCCGGTGTATATTGCGTGTGGACGGAAGCTTTTTTGCGATTGCGATTGCGTTAATCCTATGCGTTTTGCCGTATGCGTTCCCGTGGGGCAAGCACGAGTCTATTGGGTTGCTTCAGCTTATCTTCTCACACTTCTCCTAATTCCCCTAAGTGCCTCAGTTGTGGCAGAAATGAGTGAAATGGCTGTGGGGAGGACGTGGAAAAGGAACATCGGCTGGCCTCTGGCTGCACCTGAGGAGTCAGCCACAACGGCTGCATT